CTTCTCGAAAAGAGCCATTTCATGATGACTTTCAATAGTAAGTTTGAATTAATCTTGACATAGCTTCAATCCACTCTTTATAAACGTGCCACTTTTGAGCGTCAATACGACCTGCATTTGGCATTTTGCAATTGTTGCACCGATTACTCACCAACACGTTTTGCTGCTTGGTTCGTGGGCATTGCCAGAACTGACCTTCTTATTTGGTCTTCATCTGTATCAGGAGGACTCACGCGGCAATGCTGGTGAACTGGTTAGCGTTAGGGTGCGTTTGGATGCAAAGTATTTTTGCAGTTTTTTGGGAATACCGTGGTTTCAGAAAAATACCCTGGTATTAAATACTTTGATGTGTTTGGATGAAAGAAATACTGTAGTTTAAGATACGTGGTCTTTCTAATACCGTGTTTTTTTGCAGTATCTAAAAAAGAGGTCCCGACCTCTTTTTTAAAAACTGAACCGAGAGAAAAGTCAGTCCCTCCAACTCCTCGTCATTATCTGCTAATCGTAGTGTAATTTATATCTTGATTATTAGACAATTTTTTGTTAGGTGATTAACTTGTGTTCCGTTGGTCTCTCGAGTCCATGTTCTTCTGGCCGTCGTTGCCAGCGATTTCTCCGTCCGGTCAGGGATCTAGCATGCATCTAGTGAGTCCCGCTAGCATCTAGAAGTGGCCGAGAGGACTTGGCTTGCATGGCATGGCTGCATGCATTGGACGGCCTCTTTTACATGCTGATCAGCTAGCTTAAGTGTAGCTGAGTTAGTTGTAGTCAGCCAAAAATTACGAGAAAACAGCATTTGTCAAACGAATAGGTGGTTTTCGCAAAACAGAGAAAAACCATGGTTTAGACAAACCGAGGTATTGATTGCCCTTGGGTTGAGAAACTGCGGTTTTGGATTACCACAGTTTTAAAAAGACATCGCTGCCAAACTAGGCCTACATTTTATTAGGGCAAACTGCACTACAAGCAGTAATTCAGTCGCACCTATCCAAACACCCAAGTTTGTACTCCACTGAACCCGAAGATATATTATTATACTACTAGGATGTACTATGTCTTTAAAGAAATATAAAAGCGTTTCGATCATTAAATGCTTTTATATTTCTTTACAGAGAGAGTATTATGTTTTTTTTGCGTGTCAGTACAGTAAAACAGATGATAATAATGACACATACGTAACGTATACCATAAGTAACGTTACTTATCATCCGTTTTCTGATATGCTCTAATGTAACACACGGTTTTCACAAAGAAAGGTCCTGTGAAATATACGAGACAGTTGGATTAGCAAATGTGCGTCCACCTTCTGCTCGTCGGCCGTACATCAGCGGCGATGAGATTTATGGCTCCAGCAACTTGCCCTCCATGGGTGAGTGAAGCTGATTAGCTTCATTTTTTTTTAAAGAAGGATATACTTTCGGCCTCTGCATCTTGGCGATGCATGCAGCCATGCTGATTAGGTTCATGGCCGTTGACGAACGATCTTTGTGCGACCCGTCAGTTTACCAGCAGCCCGATGAATGGCTGCCCACTTTTTCTTCTCCTACTACACTTATGCCCTAGTTAGTATCCTTCTTCTGTAGCACTCCATCACAAGGGCAGCGACAATGAGGAGCTCGCCACCGTTGCTCAGCTGTTTGGCATGAGAATACCCGCTGCATCTATACCATGTGTATCACAGTCACAGCATCTCCGTCCATATTCCCAGGATCATCTTCAGCAGACCACGTCGGCGGTACATCGGAGAGACCAGCTCGTGTGCTGCTTCTTTTGTTGGGTTCTTGTCAATGCATTGTTTTGTTTTACTATCTCATATATTTTTCGATATACGGTACTTAGGCACGTAATTGGGCGACGACATCATTAGCAAGCTGGCAAAATCATAGGCTGATGTATATTTGAGACCGATGAGACAATAACACAATTCAGCATGCCTAGTGCGGCTGGCGGAGCCTGGTAGCATATACTGCTGTGATGGCCTAGGTTGCAGCTCGCATAGTTTAAGGAGGAAAGGAAAACATGATTTCACTCAAAATACAAATTGCAGCGATCACAGCCACTCACCGCTTGTTTGTTCATGTACAAGTTCATTTGTTTTCAATAGTACAAGCTTTTTGATGAACCTATCTGAATTTTGTGGCATAGTAGACACCTCTTGTATGTAGGCATGTTTAAATCTTTTGTAGAACCACATTGTTAATATTTCCTTAGAAGTAAAAAGGTTGCCTTTTCCGTTACTTGTTTACTTGGACCCAAACTATTCATTGCCTATTGTATCTACAGAGTTTTGCGTAGTGTAGCGTGCACTGGAACCATAGCTATAGAGTTTGGCTTACCGTGCTTTAGAACAATAGCTGCAGAGTTTGACCTCTCTGTTCTTATTTCTCTATATACTTGACATATACCTGCCTCCAACGTGTCCACATGATTCCGATTAACTTTTTATATCTTCGTTATCTTCTAAACGTTGCATGCATTTTATCGTTCTCTCTCATCCAAATAACTGTGTGGGGATTGGTAGTCATCAATGTTTATAAGGTGAGCGGCAAGGCGTGTTGAGAGTGTCTTGCAATATGGTCGCTTTAGGCGCTTAGGCATGAGAGCGGTGGCTGCTCATCTTAGGTCGCCTTACCGTCCTAAAAATCATGGTAGTCACACGCTCATGACACATTACCTTTGTAGCTTGTATACGTGAATGTATAAGTATACTTAGTAATCTGCAGTAGTAAGTACTAACTGAATATCTTAATCACAAGTTATATCTCTGTTGGTTGGCTTGGTTTAAGAACCCATTAGCTGTTTTATACTCCCTTCGTCCGAAAATAAGTGTCGCTGATTTAGTACAATTAAATCAGCGACACTTATTTTTGGTTTCAGTCATCTGTGGCACAGATGTCCAGTTCAAAGGATGAATCAATTAATTATGCCGATCAGTTCATATTTTTGTTGCTCTTAGTGTTTTCGTTATGATGATTTTGCTATCTCAGCGATCCCTGTCTGACAATTTGTTACCTTTTACAGGCCTTCAAGTGCCTATGAAAGTCTACTATGCTAGCATTATGCGACAATGACACTCTGCTTATTCGTATGTTCACACCCTATAAAGACCACAATCAAACTAAGAAGATGCCTAAACAAGTTATGAGGCTGCCTATATATAATTGTTTCTGCACACCGATATAAGTCATTCTACTATCTGTAATACAATCCAGCTACATCTCCTACTTACTCACTAAACATCACTTCCAACTGGCTTCTTGCGCCGTCTGTGCAACCAGGTTATCTAGTGGAAAATCAAAGAGAGCTAGTGTGTGTGCATGGGGTAGTGGGGTGGGGGTAAAGTTATTAGCGCGAGTATCAAGTGAGGTTTACGATGCTTCAATGTATAGTGGTTCAAGGTGCTCTGAAAATGACTTTAGAAAGAAGCAAACTTGTGCCAAGCTTGCTGTTGCTTGTTCCTGGCTCTAGGTCTTTACTTTTACTTCATATCTGTCTTTCAAGTTGTATATGTATGACAAACTTTGCTTTATGTCACTGGTTTGAGCCTGTAGTCCTTTTGCAGATGTTGGTGTTTGCTAAAAAAATTGATGTCACGAGAGGTC